CTGCTCCACCAGCACATGCAGACTGCCAGGTTGTCGGAGACGTAGACCGTCGGCCCCAGGGAACCCTGCGCAGCTAGCACCAGCGCGCGTAGCTCTCCGCGGTGCACGGTCTGCACGGGGCCGCTGAGGCTGCCCCAGACGGCCTTCTCCAGCGTGCCGTTGAGCAGTTGGATCTTGGCCACGGCGAGCCCGACCCGCCGAAGATGTGGCACCTGCCCTTCACGTCCCCCGCTGGCGTCGCCGAAAAGGGTGAGGGGGTCGAGCTCGGAGCCACGTCCAAACTCACCAGGGGCAACACAATCAGCACGATGGCCCTGCAAGAAGATCCACGAGTCGCCGTCGGGTGGGGCGCTGACCTCCGTCCATCTGGCTGGGAGGAGGCCCCTGAGCCAGAAGGCGGCGTGCGCCTCATGGTCGGTGGCCGCTCGGCCGCTGAAGTCGTCGCTGTCGTCGTATGCTTGGCTGCCCGTATTGCACGGGCAGCTCCAGTACCTGTGGTAGGCGGTCTCCTCGGCCTCTCCACAGCGCGGGCACGTCAAGAGCTCAGTGTCTCCGAAGACCTCCCTCTTTCTGGCTCGCGGCCACGCGCCTCCGACAGCGATGGTGGCGAGCAGCTCCTCAAGCGCAGGCCCTCCAGGGAGCCGCCTGAGCCTCTGAAGGAGACTCTGCAGGGAGCATAGGTCAGCTCTTCCTTCCAAGCCAGCTCCGCACCAGTGGCCTGCCGCGCGCTGCCACAGGTCCTCCTGGACAGAGGCGTCGAAGGCGTCGAGGATGGCCTGGCAGGAGCCCTCGGCGATGCTGACTACGTCGGGAAAAGCCCACCTTTCACGAGAACCATCCTGAAGGTGCCGCTCCCAGCCTCGAGGACCCAGAGGACACCAGCCGTACTGCAGCAGCATAGCCTGCAGGGCGGAGACAGGGCCACGCACCAGGCTCGACCTCTCCTCGGGAGGGGCTTCGCGCAGCCTGGCATGGATGGGGATCCAGGCGCGCTCAACCCGCTGACGTACCTCCTGGCTGCCTCTCCACACCTCGAACCAGTTATTGAGGAGCGCCCGAGGGAGGCGCCGTGCTGGGTCCAGGGCTCCCGCGCGGAGGGCCAGCTGCGTGGTGAGGCACCTCCCACGCTTGACGGCGCCTGTGACTGACGCCAGCCGCCTTCGCAGCTCGGCCAGCCTGCTGCCGAAGGCGCCGAAGATCTCGAGGCCGTAGGTCGCTGCCGTCTGGAGGCCGACCTTCTCGACGAACCCACACTTCAGGTACTGCCTCGATGCCTTGGCCATGCCTCGGAGCCGCTTGCTCGCCTGCCTCGTCTTGCCGAAGCGCTTCGAGATCGTGGAGCGCACAGGCCGTCTGCCCGCCGCGAGGTCAACTCCGAGGCATGTGCCGAAGGAAGAAGCCTGGACGGTGAACCCGTGCTGCTTGACGATCCTCGCGACACTGCGGGCGTCCTCCAGCTGCGAGCACACCACCACACTCTTGGGGGAGAGCGCAAAGCCCTCCTGCTGCATGCCCTGCCCGAAGTCGCGGATGCCCTGCGAGACGGCAGCGACTACAGCGGGACGAGAACCCACCGCGGAGAGGGAGAGGTCATCCACCCAGATCCGAGACGGCAGGAGCTGAGGCATCCCCTGTGGGGCCCCCGTGGCGAGCCGCTCCATGGTGAAGTACGTCATGCACCTGCCGAAGCGCGTGCCCGAACGCACTCCCTGGACAACCGACTGCGAGGGGATCACGAGCCTCGAAGCCAAGCCGTCCTGCAGCAGGACGCGCCCCGCCATGCACTGCTGCAGCTCCAGGGCCAGGGCGGCGGGCGGGAAGCCGCACCGAAGGGCAGCACGAGCCAGCCCCGTCCACGGCATGCTGTCATAGAACTTCTGGATGTCCACCAGGCCGTGCGCGTAGGAGACGCCCATGGCCGCGTAGGACTCCTCGCACACGGCCCTCGCGAAGGCCTCCCGCAGCGAGGAGTTGCCAGCCACCGCCGCGTCCCACGCTGGGGCCGTGCGGCGCGACCACTCCCGCATGGCGTCCTCCCTGACCATGCTCCAGCAGCGCGTGACCATGCTGAGGACGCCGATGATGCGCTCGCCCCCGCCCTTCTTCTCCAAGACATGGCCGAGCACGAGGAGGAGCTGCTCTGGCCACGTGGCCAGGAGGAGGAGGAGGAGGAGGAGGAGGAGGAGGAGGAGGAGGAGGAGGAGGAGGTGTGACTCTTCGCTGCGCGGGCTCCAGGCTCCGAAGGCGGCGAAAAAACGGCCCGCGGGGAAGGGGCTTGGAACTCTGGAGGCCAGAGCTCCCAACCCCTTCCCTGTGGACGCCGGAAGTGGGTACGGAAAAAAGTTGGCACAATGCCCAACAGCAAGTGTTGCCACAAACCATCAGCCGCCGCTGCTGGGCAGGCGGCTTCATGTCTCGAATGGACGCAGTCCGCGGCGACGACGACAGCGATTCCTGTTCAAAATAAACAGGAGAAGCTGCCGGGCTTTGTACGGTGCGGGCGCGGCCGCAAGAAACCCTCGCAAGAAACCCAACCCTGAAAACCCGCGCGCGAGGTGCACCTGGGGGGAAACCTGGAGCACCCTGAACGCAGCCGCTCCTTCCCCGGCTGCGGGAAGCCTCCGCGCGGCGCGCGGAGCGAAGAAACCCAGGAGACCCTGAGCGAAGAGCAGATGGTTTCTTGACGCGCGCCCCGACTGCACCCATTCCTTCCGAACCCGTCTCGATCGCCCCGATTCCGCGCGGGCAGTCTGTCGTCCCGGAGAGCGTCCGGGGGCCCGATTGGCGGGCCCCCGAAGGGACGGGCGGCCGTGCCAGGCTGCTCGGGTGCGCCGACGAGGGGGGCCAGGGAGAGAGGAGGGGTTAGCGTTAGGTCGGGCATGTCCCCCTACAGGCGGATCTTGGGCGAAAAATCACACATGTGCGAAACATACCCCAAAAGAGTCGAACGAATACTCAACAAATCGTCCGCTGACTATTTTTTGACTATTTGTGAATAGTCCTCCTGTGGAAAGGACAGGTCCGACTTGAGGTTATCCCGTAACGGCCCGAGGCATGCGCTCGGCCGAGGGGGGGGGCCAGCGGATGCGTGGGAAAGAGGCGGAAGGGACCAACGGGAGGGGGCAGAACATCCACCCCCACAAGAATCACCCCGACACGCGAAGCCGTATAGCATGCGCACCCACAGAAGCAATCGAACAGGGCAGGGCTGTTCAGTAAACGCCCAGGGCCGTTTAGTGAACGCCAAGTATCGGGTCCAGGTGGTTTTCCTCCGTCGAAGCAGATTTGGGATATATATATATATATCATAGCCGTATCAGAAGCGAAGCTGGGACTCCGACTCAAACGAGCCTTGCTGGCAGCATCCAGCCGCCCTGAAGCATCTTGCCCCCCTCAAAAGTCAACCTCCATACAGTCGGACCTAGGCCTCAAGAGCACCCCTCGAGAACATGAGACCCTCCAGCGGCCAAAAAACACAGCAGCCAAGGATACCCTCCCCAGGATGCACAAGAATATCCAACAAACGCGAAAAACATCAGGGCACCCTCCCCGAACCCACCTCGATCTTATGCCTCGGTCCGACGGCACGGTGAGGGCGTTGGATCAGGAGCCGTTGGGCTCAGGAATCCATGGCCTGGAACCTGGTGGATAACTCCAATCGTGGGTTGCCCATGGACGCCACCGCCGCCCTCGTCAGATAAGGAATCCTCCAGCGCCTGCAGCCCTCAAGGCAGAATCACTTGACCAACGCCCCTACCTAGAGGCCTCCTAGATGGGGACAGAGTAGATGGGGTCGGAGGATCGCGCCGCATCGGCGATACTCAGGCGATCGCAAACATGGATCAAGGGGACGTGGATTAGCGACGGGTCCCGCTTCCATGGGAAATAGCGGATTTCCGCCGCCGAGCGAGGCGGCACCGGACGTTTTTTTGGAGGGCACCTCCCCCGATCAATGGATTTGGCGATCGCGCGCCAAATCCATGGATCGCCAATCCATGTTTGCGCGCCCCCCAGGATACATCGGCGATGCGTCGGCGATGCACTGGCGATGCATCGGCGACGTCGGCGAAGCATCGGCGACGTCGGCGTGGAAAAAAATCGGGCTCCGCATCGACACGCAGCGCCGATGCATCCGCGATGCGGCGGCGAGCCTCCGACCCCATCCACTCGGACCCCGCCGAGGAGGCCTAGCCTACAGTCGGGGCGTTGACCTAAGGAACCCTACATAAGGAGCGAGGCCCCTTTTTGCCATAAATTGAACTTCGATATCCCATCGAAAACATAAGGAAAACCTGAGGCAAGCTGTGAAACAATCAAGGAACACGGAGCCCCTCCCCAACGAAAAGGGTTCCTTCTTCAGGGACCCGACCGTACTACGGCAGTGGTGGTGCCCCCCCCCCGAGCTCCGGCGGGCCCGGGCGCTGCCAGCCGAGCACCGCAGCGCCCGCCGACATCGCGCGCCGCCGGGGCGCCCACGCTGCCGCGCGAGGGGAGGGGGCGCGGCGGCGGCTCGGCGGCCCCGTCTCGGCCTCGGCCCCGGGCGACGGGCCGCGTCCTGCGCCGCCCGCGCTCGCCGTGCGCCCTCTCCTCCCCTCCGTCGATGCCTCCACCCACCCCTCCCTCCCCCATCACCCCCCTCCCTCCCTCCCTCCCTCGCCCTCGACTCCCCCCATGACCTCCCTCCTCTCGTCCCTGACCTCCCCCCTCCGACTGCTCCTTGCCTTCCCCCTCACCCCCTCCCTCCCTCCCTCACCCTCCACTCCCCCCTTCCTCCCTCATCTCGTCCCTACCCCCACTCCCTCATTCTGGTCCCTGCCTCCGCACCCTCCGAGCTCCTCCCTCTCCCACCTCCCTCGGCGGGGCGGGGGGCTGGGCGAGGGGCGGCAGCAGCAGCAGCAGCAGCAGCACCAGGCCGACAGAGCACCGCGCCGCTGTCGCGACAGGGCAGCCGCTGCGGCGAGGCCGCAGGCGCTCCGCGGCGCGAGAGCGCAGAGGCGCGCCTCGTGCGTTGAAGGCCACGGAGGTCTCCCCGTTTCCGTGCTTCTCGATCTGGCCCCGGGGTGGCGGCTCGTCCCACCCCTCCTCGACCTCCTCCTCCTCCTCCTCCTCCTCCTCCTCCTCCTCC